ACAGATTTTTATTTCTTGGGAGTACTAGTACCCATTAAGTTACCTCAGTAGGATTGAGGCAAAAGGTTTAGCAGGGGATCTGGAACTAGTTGGTTTAATCACCAGCTTCATTGGAATGGTAACTTCAGCCACAGCTGAGCCTAGGAGTGGGTAATTGTAGGTTACTGCACATTATACATGCACAGCAGTGTGATCTTTATAGACTCAATATTAAAACATAGCCTCTTATCATAAATCAGGGAAGCAATCAATACAGAAAAAAAAAAAAAAAATTCTAGAACACATATAGGGCACTGAAAACAGCCTTTAACTGGTGAACCCATATCACACCTTTGGAAGCCCATTTCACCATCTGGGAGAATTTGCTGAACTCCTATAAACAATATAATCAATATTCTCAGCTCTGCTTCTGAAATCTCCCGCACCTCCTAATTACCGCTCTAGATAGAATATTATAGTCTACATTTTCCATTGTCTTTAGATTGTGTTATGTAAGCCAAGCTATAAAGCACTCATTAAGTGGGTGATAAAATGTTTTCTTTCTGTCTTTTTATAATTATGGTTCATCAAAAAAAAGACTAAAAAAAAATAATTAAAGAGATAATGAAGAGATGTTTTATTGTCTGGTAATTAATTTGCAGAACAATGGCTGGGTACAATAGTTATAAAATATTTTGTTGCATACAACACGGCACTTTCTCAAGTACTACAGATTGACGACTCAATTTACTAGTAACAGAGAAAACCAGACTTGCGTACGTTTATGAATTATGTCTATATCGTTGGTACAATATACAGGTGATTTACTACATCTGTTGGTGTGTTGAAATTAAGGCATAAGATATCACTTGCAGCAGATGTTTTTGCTGGTGTTAGTCAGGAGTTTGAATGATGTAAAGAGAAAACATGTTATGCTTGCAAACAGCAAAATGTCTGGGTCGCCTATGTCTGTATTTTTTGGGTAGGGATGTAATTGTCATATTTGTAAGATCAGATGTTTCTGGCAGCCATTGCCTTTATAGCTATTAGGTTTGAGAATCCCCTGCTCTAATATAGACCTAGGGGGCTTGCGAGTCACCTCGCCCCAATTGTTTGATAATCCCCCACCCACCAAAGTGTAAGGGTAAGGACCATTTGCCAGGCTCATGCCTAGTTAAGCCCTTCCTCTACCACCACGCGTGGTGGAAATAGCTATTTGATGTGACTCTGCTGTTAAACAGCAGTTTCTAGGGGACCCCATGCTTTTTTTATATTATACATATTAATAAAATAAATTGGTGGAAGAGCTGATCAACTGTTTCTTGTTACATGTCTCATAGAACTGATAGTGGTTATTTTTAACATGTCTTATTTCTTTGAAGTAGATTTTACTAGTAAATCAAGCTTACTTACTTACTTACATTTACTTATTATCCCTTTCAAATAAATGTATATTTCATATGGCAGGACGTATACCAAGTTACTAATAAGAAACATTTGAGATTCAATACAAGACTTGAGCGATATTGTCACAATGCTTTGCTTATTATTACTATTTTCCTGTATACTGGTATCCACAGGACTAATACTAATTGTCTGAATTGTCTCGTGAATTACTGATTATTTGAAGATGTTAATTACAAATTCTCTAAAGCCATGTACATATGAGTTCAGGAGACAAGTGGTATTGTTCCTTAAATGAAAGCCATCATCTTGCAGTTTAAATATTTTTTGATAAGTAAAATAATTATAACACTTCTTTAATGCAATAAATCTGAGTGCACCTTTTTTATATAAACACGAAGACATCATCCGTTCATCACAGCTGTATCAGTAAATATTTTCCATTTATATTGAATTGATCAGAAATTGTCTTAAACTATTAGGCAAATAATGAATCCATGCATTTTTAGAGGACTCTTTTTTTTTTCAGTTTGAGAGAAAAAGATATGAGAAAGCATGTGAGCCCCATCCTCTGCTTTCTCATAATGTATTGTAGATCATAGAAAATAAACAAGGAAACTAGATGAAAAATTGCCACAAGTTACATTTTGTAGCGCCGCTAAGATTCTGCAAGACTGAAATTAGGAATGGACTCCAGCAGAGAACACCTGGAGATTCTGCTTTGCTTCAGTTATTTATCTTTTTTTTGCCAGTTTTGCCCACATTATGCAGCTGGGTAAATAAATAGCCCCACTTGATTGCAGGGTTGCAGCCTTGACTTTTACAGTTGCGAAGTCTTTATTTACATTTGAAACCTGATTGTCTATAGGGAGGAGACATCAATCACCTAGTTTAAAGAGTTGTTTTCAAAATGTGCATATTTTTGGCAGATTATGATAATTATTAGTATTAGTTATATAATGCTAACATATTCCCTGGTGTGTTAAAATGAGAATATAGAAAACAGCACATAAATGACAAAACAGATTAAAGAAAACAAGAAGATGATTGAAGAGGACTCGTTTTAGGTAAGCTTACAATCTAGAACAATGGTCACCAAATAATACACCGGCAATTTATAGTTCCTGCTTCTTATTATTATCATCATTTAAAAAAATGTAAAATGGAATATATATAAAAAATGTAATGGAATGTTACATTATGAAATAACAGTAGTTCTCATTTAAAAATTTCTATGTGAGGGGTGGAGCCACTATCCGAACTGAGCAGAGGCATGTTACAGATGCTCCTGGGAGAATATCCTTAAGCAGAGCTATTGCCTACTTATTCCATTCCATTGAACCTCTATATCCTCTGGGACACTATGGGATGTCAATCCAAAACCTCAAGAGACACCCTACTCACTGATTACTCCAATATAGGGAATCTACTACGCCAGACTTCTAGGCCGAATGCTCCCAAGATGGCAACCACGCAAGAGCAGTCTCTGGCCTCCTTGGAGGCCAGCACTGCGGATTTCTTTCCAATTCCTCTCCACCAACAGCAGCAGAAACTGTCTTTGTAGCAGCTCTGAAGAAAGATCCAGTAAGGATCTTCTCCAGAATGTCTGCTTCAAGGCAACCATCACCAGATTTTTCAGAGGGAGCAACAATACCTTAGATGCCAGACCTGGGGATCGGGCAGAGGACAAAAGCCTGCCTGCCAGTAAGGCAGACATAAAATCTCTCTTCTCCAATATTAAAGCATTATTTGCCGTGGATATTTTGGTGGTGAGGGAGGAGATGGCCACACTGACCTCAAATGACTGGATATAGGCAGCTGATAAAGTTGTGGGTGACTTTAGGAGCAGACAGCAAGCTATGGCTAAGGCAGTAGCACAATTACAACAGCAGTAGCACATTTCTGAGACAAAACTGACCATATGGAAGACCTGCACCTGCACCAAAATATTCAGATAAGAGACCTACCAGAGACTGTTCCCCGGGGGAACTGCCTCATTCACATAGTTATGGAAACCCTCTTCAGAGTGGCCAGGTTTTCCTGGGCAGCAGCAGACGTTGCTTGAGACTTATTGTGGAGGTTCTGCATAGAGGCAGGCAAGGCCACAGTGATGACCACAACTCTGGCCTCTCTGTCACGATTACTATATAACCCAACACGCAGAACTATGTAATATGCAATGAACAAGGATAACATATACCGGGCTATAGAATGGCCGGACTTAACATAAATAATGGTCAAAATACTAGCTGAGGTCAGGGACAGAGGAAGAGACACAATGAGGAAACAAGCCAAAAGTCAAGGATACCAGAAATACGGGAAAGTCAAAATATAAGCCAAAGTCAAATACCAAAAAGAACTAGAATAGGAACCCACTCTCTGATAACCAACTAGTGGAAACCACGACAGGGCACTGACCAAACACTATTTTGAGTTTAAATAACCCTCCTAAGGATATGATTGGTTGTACGTAGCCTTTGACCCCAAAACGTACGTGTTGTTTGCGTGTCGTCACACCCACCTTGGTGCCATCTTTGTTGAGGACAGAGGTGGGGCTACATAGTTGCTCTGGACTGCAGAGGCCAGCGTTTATAAGAAAGCTGCACCAGTCGGGGATCGTTCCACGAGCATGCTGAATGGCAAGGTGATTTGCCTTAGGTAAGTTTTTATTATTTTTAACAATGTAAACGCATCGATCGGATACGGCCTTGCTGTATGGAGGTGCGGGCGACGTAACACTCTCCATTATATGCATATGAGGACTGTGTCCTCTCCTTTTATGGGAACTTCTCCCGATCTTCTATTGCCTGGAGACACACACTTAGACTTGTTGCCAAGCTTCTAAGAGAAAATGGCATTGTCTAAAGTTTGAGACCAGGATGCAGGCTGAACGTTGGCAGAAAACTCCTGGTCTCGGATTTCTCAAGGCAAAATGCCTTTGTCACTGCTTTGGGGCTTTCATGGCCTACTACGGCCTCTCCAGCAAGACGCACTAGGTTGTGGATAATATCCAGCAACTCTACTTCGGAGGAAAACTGCCTACTTCTATACCAAAATCAGTCATGGTTATTACCTGAGTTTGGTGAACTCTAGGGATTGTTTTAAGTCGCTTATTTTCCCAATGGTTTGCTTTTCTTCTTAGTTAAAATGCTTTTCTTTTCCTTTAAGTTCTTGTTGATGTCCAAATGAATATGAAATATCTGCAGTGTAGGCCTAAACCTTCCCGTTCTGCTCCTCATAACGGTTAACCCCTCCCCCCCGGCCCCCACACACACCACACACACCACACACACACCATCCAGCATTTGACCAAGCTTTTAGGTGTGCTGATTATATTTAACAATAAACACAATAAACCACTGATTATGAATGTTGATTAATAAAGTACCCCTACTGATTTAAAGATTAGCATATGTGCTCAAGATTTGTGTTTAAAATGTAGTTCGGATTACATATGTATCTCAAAGCCCATATGTAATCCTCTAACACAAAAATAAAAATGAAATACTGCAGAAAACGCAACAAAAAAAACATGTCAGTGTGAGTGTGAATGGTTTTTTTGGACGTGGCTTTTTCATTAACACATAAAGAAAAAAAATGTAATTAGTTTTTTTTTAAATCTCTTTTAACTCTTCACGAATTTGTATGTCATCCTTGTGCATGGGTCATGCTAATTTTTGTTGTATTGTTCCAATTTTAGTACTTGTGCTACAAAGGTGAATGCTTAAAATGTTTCTTTAATATAAAACAATAATACAGATCAGTGGGTGTACAAGATGCAATACTTTTAACATTTGCACAGGGCACTTAAGGAGCTTTAGCTGGTCCTGAGCAGAGTGCATCTATGCCTGGTCCATAAACACAAGCACATTCCAACAAAAATACTCACAAACACACAGATACTCAGACTTATGGACTCTCAAACAGACGCACTCAGAAACTCTTACAAACATTGTATTTTGTATATTTTTTTATCATCCTGTTCACATAGCTTTATTTCCCTTTATATGTTTCACATATATGTGGGTATATATATTTTTTCTTGTTGTACTCTTACAAACACACTCACATATACAAACACTTCTGTAAACACTCTCACATATAGATTTGCAGAATCTCTTGCAAGCACTCTCCCAGACATACAATTTTACACGCACTCAGGCACTCTCGTACACAGTCAAGGATCAGAGGGAAGGTGAACGTCTGATAGATTGAGATCGGTCAGTCTATAGGATTGGTGTTGCCCTTTAGAAGACCATTATGGGAGAATTTGAGAGAAAATGTAATTGAGTGGAGTTGCTGAGTGCATTGCAAGTTACTGAATATTACATAAAGTCAGGATTGGAAAATGCATGAGGTGTGAGAACAAACATACTAGGTGGACATGCCTTTTTGTTAAAATCACAGCTGAGAAAATTCGTTTTTTTCTGTCATGCCGCCATGTCAGAAAAGGACACACCTCTAGCACTGGCAAGTCAGTAGACCGTTGTTCAGACAGGTTCCCATATTTTTTTAAAGGATCCCTCGTTGTGATTTGCTACACACAACGGTCACTGTTAATTATTACCATGTGTGACAGACCGCCTGGCACCCCAACCAGGTACCTCCGCAATCGCTGTTTCCTAGTAATCCGTGAGTACCATAAGCACCACACCGGACACCATAACCACTGTAAACCCCACAAACTGCTGCAGCTTGGTTGGGGTCTCGCTGTCCTCCACCCACCCTGGTCCCAAAACCAAGATCCAGCTTCCAGTGGGTAGATCTCTCCTAGTCCAGAGAGCGAAGCAGGCTGCTCTTACAAGAGCAATTGTTGTGATTCAAGTGAGTATAGTGATTATAGCAATTCCCAGAGTGAATATAGCTCTCCAATCCCCCAAACATGAGCATAGACTTCATGAAGGGTAAAACGAATCTGTGTAATGGCAGGTACAACTGGCCTTATATGCACGCCCCATGCAAGGGGCACTCCCCCCTGGACCTGAGAGTAGACTACAGTAAAAACATATACACAATTACATTGGCTCTTAGGTCCAGGACACTCCCATACAAAATAGGTCAATCCCTCCCCTATCCCTGGGAGATAGAGCCAAGCACTGTATTAAACTAAATAATATCCAGGTACAAAAAGTACACATTTTTACAAAAACCCTAAAATACCTTAAAAAACACAAACTCCCCACAAATGTTACATCCCATGATAGCCCTGATCTGGGTGACCAACATATCCAAAAATCACCCAGATCAGTTCAGGGGTTCAGGAATTTCCTGGAAGTCATAATTTCACCGCCCGCCCGCATGGTCCCTTGCCCAAAACAGTTCCAGAGAATCAGGGCTTGCGGTCAGTCTAGTTTGGTAGTTTAAAAACAAACAAACTACCGAACAGAGTCAATAGTCTTACCCTGGAGCTTGATCCCCCTTGTTCGTGGGAACGTTTCCACTGAACAGCGCCTTTCTAAGTGTTGTAGAACCAAACGCAGGCAATGCTGGAAGTCCAGTGGTGTTCGGGAGTTTCTGTGTCCGTTTTCAGTTCCATGAGATTCACGCCCAAACACCGCTGCCTGCTTTCATGCGTACAAGATGGCCGCCACCTCGTGGTCATCCATAGGAATTGCGGCCACCCAGACGAACACTTAGAACACTGCGGTGGAAGTAGCAATTAGGCTTAACAAGCTCCAGGGTGGGCTCCGGTTCAAGCGGCTGTTCGGTTCCCGAACCAACTATAAAATCCCACAAACCAAGTCTGTTCACAGTTTTTAAAAGGCCCATAGTCTTTTGGTAAGAGGCTGGCCAGCAGGCCCCTCCAAGCACATGTGATGAGGCTCAGTTCGTCACACCATGAACTGTTATATTTAACCTCCGTGTTCACTTTATATATCAACCAATGGATTTTTACTTTCTGTTTAAATATAAAATAGCTTTCAGATGAATCGCTGCTGTTTAGTTTTGTCTTTGCGCCTATTCATTGTAATTTCTGGCAAATGCTAAAATATTTGATGTCTTATCTGAATATTCATTACCTCTCCCTCAATAAAATATAGTCTTTGGGCATATGGTTTGAATTAACACTATCTTCTAATATTTGAACATGCTCCTGTTGAAATATGCCTTTTGGACATAGTTGTTTGCATTAACACTATCTCCTAATATTTAAACAGTCTTAGTATTTTTCATATATCTTGTAGAATTATTGCTACAGTAAAACAGGTCATGTAACAAGTCAATTTGCAGTCTCCATTCTCTGATTAACTAAATTCTCTACTGACTTCCTTAATTGACATCAGGAATATGGAAAGCTTGGCAAATGTATTCTTTCTAAATGTATTCATATAGTGAAAAAGATAATACTATAAGATCCAATATGCTGTCTCCATTTGTAACACATTGTTACAAAGCTATAGAGTTTATTCAGCCACCATTAATCAAGTGATACAGATTCAAAATAATGGAGCATTGGAATAACGTGTTGCTTTTTTTTATTGGACAAACATCATTTATAAATGACAAGCCTTTGGGAGATGCTAAAGCATTACATTTTTAAGTTGATAAGGAATCAAATCCCAAAAAAGCATGTCATTCAAAAAATGTGTTAGTCCAAGACAAAAATATTATCCTGCCATTATCCATTATTTTTTTAAGGCTATGAATAATAGGCATTGCTGACAGCACATTAATTAAAAAAGGGCACATTAATTAAACAACTGAACAGCGATTAAGTGATTGTTTCACTAAGGAGTGATGTTGATGTTTGGTTAATGCAAAAAAACTATTTTGCCAAATATCGATACCATGCAAGTCTTGATGTAAAAATAACTGAGATTCTGCTGTGTTTATCAAGAAGCCATTATAGATGGTTAATGTGTGCGTCAGGGAATACTCTTAGATAATAATTGTGTTATAGAAATCCCACCATCATCAGTTCACAAATAAACGGTTATAAACTCTGCAGGGAATATCTTAGATACAGTTAAATTTGTTCGTAACGTAATTGAATTTTATCCTTGGAAGGCTTGTAATATCTCTGACAGTATTCAAAATACATGTCAGAGTTTGATCAATATCATCATGTTTTCCAAAGACATATTAAATAGCTCCCAAAACCAAGAATAAAAATTGCTTGCTGAGTACCTGAGTCAGCATTCTATAGACAATACATATATGATGTGATGTACATAAAACAAAACTCAAACACGCTAAAAAATTACATATGTTTCCAAATTATGTAAGAAGAAAATCAACAGTATCTCGAAAATCCTTTAGTAGTATCAATCATCATGGTTAAAATGAAAAAAGTATCTGAACAATGCAGAAACATAGAAACATAGAGAAACATAGAAACATAGAATGTGACGGCAGATAAGAACCATTCGGCCCATCTAGTCTGCCCATTAATTAATTAATTAATTAATTAATCTGCCCAAGCTTAATCTTCACAAGCTGGAGTGATAGAGGGGAAAAAAATAACAAAAAATTATTTCTCTCGAAAATCCTTTAGTGTCAATCATCATGGGATGATCAATCAGAGAAGTATCTGAAGAATGCAGAGGATCATCTTCAGAAGCTGGGGTGATAGTTGCAAAAATAAAAAAATAAACGTGTGGAGAACAAATTTGGTATGGCCAAATTGTTAAGTCTAAAAAAAAAATATTTAGTTGGGGTGATATGAAAATCATTCATTTGGTTTTTTGGCTTGGATGAATTTTGTCCATGAAAACAATTTGTGAAAAAGATTTGGATGAACCAAAATGGCACAAAAATGACCGGTCAGTGTACTGTAAAATATAAATATTATGTACAGGTGGTCCTCATTTAGTGAACTACCTGTTTTACGACGACTCACACTTACGACCAGGCGTACGTGTGAGCCGTTGTGTGGATTCCCTTCTCTGGTGTGCATGTCTATGTTCGGGGAAACTTCCCATTCATTCTACGACCAGGTCATAGGAACGGAACCCAGTCGGTAAGTGGGGAGTGTCTGTATATATTTAGCAGCACACTGATAGGTGCCATTTGGTTCAAAGTCAAGCTAGAAGAAGTAATCAATAGAGAGAAACAGGAGGAGCAGTAATAAATCTGTATTTATATATTTGTATAGCATATATTTATTAAATATATAATATATAAATATAGATAATATTTTTCACTGCTCCACCTTTTACTCTCTGTTGCTCACTTCTCATTTGATCTGAGAATAAAATCAACATTTACTCGTTGTCCCCAACAATCAATCATATTTTTTTTGGTGCCTAGGGCAGAACTCTACCTCAGGAATAAATAAAACCGCCAATCCATGTGCTGTTTCGAAGTTTTCGGAATTCAGACAAATAGCAATTCATTTCAAACCGAATGCACATTTCTACAAAAAAGCTCGGTGTTCTGGTTTTTCCAGAGTGTATATCATTTGATTTTATTTGAACTTTGTTTCATTTCGTCAAAGGATTGTTTGACTAGTGATATTAGATACAGTGACATAGATTGGTCAGAGAACAAGGAGGAAGCCTTTGCTTAACAATTGAATACTTAATGGCTATTATTGTCACAAACATCTGTATTTGTCTGACTATTGCTTGTTTATATCGCAGTCGCTAGCAACATATCTAAAGAATTATTCAGTATTATGTCAGCACAATCTTATGTTCACGCTCTTTTCTGCTACCTTTGATACCCTCAGAAGGTCATCAAGCTGGGTAGATGACCTACCTAGGAGATAAGTAGATTTTTTAT